AGAAGACAAAACTTGCAAACCAAACTGCCCAGATGGATATTTTGCAAAAGCTAAAGTTTGCACCGTTTGTCCAGATAATTGCAAAACTTGCACTGAGGAAACAAAGTGCACTGCTTGCAAAGACGATTCGTTGATGGTAGAAGACACCAAAATGTGTGTGAAAGACAACTGTCCAGAAATGTATTACAAATCTGAAGCCGACAAAATGTGCAAGAAATGCACTGACAAATGTAAAGTCTGCAGTAATGCAAATGATTGCCAAGAATGTGTTTCACCAAACATGTTGGAGGAGGGAACCATGAAATGTGTTGACAAATGTGAAGACGGGTTCTATAAAGCAAACGCAACCAATTGTGATATGTGCATGGATAAGTGCATGATGTGTGCAGCCAAAGAAAAGTGCGACAAGTGCAAAGAAAACTTTTTCCTATCTGAAGACAAATGTGTTGACATTTGCCCAGAAAAGTACTTTGAAAAAGAAGGAAAGTGCGAGAAGTGCAAAGACAAATACGACACTCCATGCAAAGAAGGTGACAAGGAATGTGAAGTTTGTGTGAACAAAAGTGGGTCGTTTGGAACTTACGTTCTCGCTTTGGTATTAGTCTTGATGATCGTTTTCTAAGTTATTTTTCTTTGATATGGTTTTTTATTATTTATTTGGGTATGTTCAGAAAACTAAAAAAAATAAATAATTGAATCATATAAATAATTTTTTTATTTAAAAAATAAATAAAACTTGAATTAACTTTTTTTATTAACATTAAAAATATCTAAATTGGATTTAACACAAGATTTCTGATGTAAAAATGGATTTCAAAAAACATAAGTTTTGCTTAACAGTAAAGTAGCATAACTCATTATTTATTATTATGTTTAATAATAATATATGATGTAAACTGACATATTTATGAATAAAACCCAACTTTTATATTTAAATAACAAATATATAATTCCAAAAAATTAATTTAAATAAAAATCAATTTTTTAGTTATGAATTCCCAAAATGTTTAGATCAAAAAACAAAATAATTATCATCCAAACATTAAATATTTTATATATATAAACACAACTAAAATTTTCATATACAAAAGAATAATGAATGACTTTGATATATAAGTTAAAGTGTTGTTGTAATGTTGTTATGAAATAAACTTTTTTATTTTAAAACATTCCAATATAAAAATGCGAATTGGAAGTGTAGTATTGATAATAAAAAAAGATAACAGATAGAATAAAAAAATTTGAAAATTGTTTAACAAACTTAGTGAAATTATACAAAAGAAAAAACTCAACAATAAGTATTACACTTCTTTACACCATTTAAGGCTTTTTTAAAATTTTAACATTGAAATTATTAATGATAAAACAATATAATAAAGCAAAATAATCAACTTGAATATCAAGTCACTCAACAAAAAATTTGAACTAAATAGAGAATAATTTGACAAGATGATTAACTCAAACATTAAAATTAATATACATATATATAGAACTTTATTTGACAAACAAATTAATTATTTTGAAACAAAGAAATACTTGGATATAAAAGCTTAAAAGAATATTAATACCAAAAACAATATAATTTGGATTATTATTTTTAATAGATCCAAAGATAATATTTCAGGTAAAAATACTGATTCTTTTATTTTCATATTTCAGAATTGATATGTTTTGATAATATTTTTGTCTATAAAAATACTTATACAGTGTATAATTGTAAGTAGTAGAATTAATATTTTGATGTAATTTGTGAATAAAACATTAAAATTTTTAAATGTTCATTATTATTGACGATGTAATTAATTGAAAATGTATTATTATTAATGTATTAAAATGTTATTTATAATAATAAGAAAACAATAAATCAACAATGTAATCGATAAATAATATCCAAGAGACTAGTTCCTTTCTTTTCTTCAACAATCTTTTCTTTTTCTTTTTTCGTATTTTTCTATTTTATTTCACATTTATAATATTATAATATTATAAACAGAAGCGCTTATACCTCTATAATTTGTTGTTTGGACTGTTATTTTATGCCGTATAAGCGCTATTGATTTATTTATTAATTATTTAGTCTTTTATTCAGTCCAATTTTATGTATACAACAAAAAGGGACTTTTTAATAACAATAAAAAAGTCACTGTGGCATATTCACGGGATATATTTATCAATTACATTGTTTGCCGACTCAGTTTGAGCCGGCTTCTCTTACTTGCATTCTAATGGATCAATACCTTTAATGTTTTTTAAATAGAAGAAACAACCTTTGTTCTGATAATTGTGATGCTTTACTAACCAAATGGGGATGCGCTTTTTTCCTTTTAATACAAATAAAAGATTGCTTTTTCAATTTTGTCTCTCGTTCATTGTGGCGCATTTGATGTTGTTGGATGTAATTTAAATTGTATTTAATTTAGTCATTGGTTTTGCATAAATAAATCATCAATTGTCAACTACTTATCACGAGTAAAAATAAATATTTTCATTTATTGTAACCTTTTAATAATGATATTGTTGATAATGTTAGTTGTAAATATTGTATGTTTTCATCCTATTTGTTGTTTTAATATTGTACGACATAGAATTCATAAGCTTTTGAAATGTAAGATAAATTCCTTGATATAACCCCATTTGGTTTGATAGATACTCGTTAAAGATAGTAATGTAGTCTACTCCATTTCATTGTTGTTGAATTGTTGTTTCTGATTATCAAATTCTAGCTTTATATATTGTTTATTTTTTCTATTTTTAATTATCGTGTTTTTTTATTAACAAATACCACATTATTCTATTAATACAGTGTTGGAACACAAGAAATTTGGATCTTTGTGTGCTATTTCTCAACTTCTTTTTAGGTTTAATAGTGTATTCGATAATTATTATATTTTTTATTTTTATTTTTATTAAAATAAAAACAAACAATTATCTAATAAAAATTGTATCGGCTGTGCTTCTATCTTAAAAATAATCAAAACAACGCCAATGTGTCTCTATTGTCATTGTTGTCCAAACATTAATATTGTATTTTAATTGAATAATAAAATCAACTTGTTTTTAAATAAATAAATTATGGTATTTTTAAAAAATAAAAAAACTTTTCATTTTATTTTCGAAATAAACACTTAAGGATTTATTTATACAAATGGTATATAAATAAATTACATAAACACCTAATTGCAACAACAATTGGGGTTTTTTGTAATTGAGTTATCATCTAAAAATAATTTTTTTCTATTTAAAACTGCGTTATAACTGTTTTTAATAGTTTAAAGTATAAGTTAGTTTGTATTTTTAAATCCAAAATTAACTGTTATTCAAAAAGTCATAAAAATAAAAAATTGTCAAGAGTTATTTGCTAAATGTTGTCTAGTCTGGAACGTTGTTTGCTGATTTTAGACCATTATAAATGAAATTTTAAGGGATTTTTTCGGAAAACCCCAAAATCATTGTTTCAATATTATTCCTTTTTTTCATTTTTACCTAATTCCCGTTTTTTGAAACAAAAATCAATTATTTTTTTGTTAAAAAGACAAAGTTTGGGGAACAGACAAAGTTTATCAACTGACTCTATCAAACAACAAATAAAAGTTCAAGAGTGTAATTTAATTTTTAAATTCAACGAACTAAATTATTTATAAATCAAATTAAATTTGTTTTCAAAGTAAATTTACAAACCAATTATAAAAAGGTGGTTGAATGTTATTTTTAATTAATTTGGTTTGTTGTTTATTTTTATAAATATAAACTTTTGATTGTTTTTAATTTTATTGTGCATATCTATTATTGGTTGTGTCTAAGTTTCTTGAATTTTTATTTGATTAAACCACAAAATAACAAATGTTATTTTAAATAAAATAACCATTTCAATTCTATCTTTAACCCTTTGACAAACCAATGTTTTTTAAAAATAAATAAATAAATAATTTGTTCCTTTGTATTTTTTCTATATTTATAATTATTTTACTCAACCAACACCAGTTATCTGTTTTATTTTTTGTAAACAAATAAAAAACCAAGTACTCAATTATTTATAATTTATCAAAATTATTTCTTTTGGACGACATAGTTATTTTTGATAAATAAAAAATTTATTAATTATAAGTCATAAGGTATTCAATTTATTGTCGAACCCTATACCACATATGTATTTCTATTCAAACATTACTTTGAAATAATATATTTGTTCAGAACAATATCACGATCTGTTTATTTTATAACAAATGATATACAAGTACACTGAACTGCTCACATGACAAAGAAGTCGCTTCGTCTGCTTCAACATCAATAATTATGTATTGCGTCACTCAACAGCGAATGAATATTATGGAGTGTTTTTAATATCAATAAGTATCTGTGTACTTAATAAAGAGACTAGATTATAATATCAAAGAACAAAAAAGAAATGAATGTGTGTTTTTCGCCTTACTTTAATTAGATATATCAACTCAAACATAATCACAATTTCACACAATTAATAATAAAACGTTCTATCACAAAATAAGACCAATCCTATCAACTTAAATTTTAAACTATCAATTAGAATGAAATTGATCCTCCAATTCCAACAAAATTACCTCTGCCCTCATCTCTTCCGACTCTCATTCCCACTTTCGCTCGATCATTAATCTTATAATCCGCTCCAACAGTATACCTGACTTTTCCTCCATTCGCCTTATTAATTTCGGCATTCAAGTCCCATTTATCATTCGGCTTATAATTTGCCTTCACTCCATATGAATTGATCTTCTTTCCGTTTTCCTTCCCAAATTTTGCGTTACCTTCAATCCCAAATTTGTCATTAGGATTATACCCAGCGGCAATTTCAACACTTCTATCTCCTCCCCCAACCTTCGCGTTTCCTTTCACGTTGAACTTTCGTTCTTATATTCCCCTCCAACACTCACAGTGTTTTCTTATCTTTTCGATTGAAGTCGACATTGAAGTTTGTGTTCTCATTTGCCTTATAACTTCCACCTATCCCAAACTCGTTCTGTCGTTTCCCGTCTCTTTTCGACGTCTTAAAATTTGTATGAATTTCGCTCTTCTCGTTCGGCTGATATTTCCCTTGAAAATCAACTGACCCACTCTTACTTTTACCGGTTTGAGTTTGTTGCAAATCCAGTGTCGCCTGCACTTTTTTGCCGATATATTCCGCCTTCAAGTTCCCTTCACTACTTTTATTCCCGTTTGTGTTCTTTCTCTTCGCTCCGCCCGAGACGGTCAATTTGTCGTTCACTTTGTACTTCCCATCAACACTCAAACTCTTAGTTTTGTCATTCCCATTTTTACCGGAACTCAAAGCACCGTTCACACTCAATTTGTCTCCGGTATAACTTCCTTTGACGTTCACTTCTTTAGAGGCGACGCCGTTTGTTTTGGAATACTTGCCGTTGGCACCTATTGTGACTTTGTCCGTCGGTCTGTATGCCACTCCACCGGCGATACTCTTCGACTTCGTTTGGACACTTTTGCTGCTTGAAACTTTCACATTGGCGTCGAGCTTTTTGGAGGTGTAATCGGCGGAGGCAGAGAGATCGCGGCTCTTTTGACCATTTTGCTTTGTGAAGGATCCGTCCGTCGACAGTTTGAGATTGTCTGTGGGTTTGTACGTTGCGGAATATTTCAAGTTCTTAGTCTTTGAATTTGGACTCTTGTTTTGTGTGTAGGATGTGGAGGCAGTCAGTTTCTTGGAAGTGTAATCTGCTCCGACTCCAAAACTCGAGGACCTTTGTCCATTTGTATTTGTTTTTTGTGCATTGCCATTCACTGAGAATTTGTCATTGAATTTGTATTTTCCATTAATCGACCCACTTGTCGTCTTTGTGCTGCCAGTTTTGGATTTGGTGTATTTGGCAGAGCCACTAAATTTGTCGGAGGTGTAATCTGCGCCAAGTCCAACTTGAGACGATTTCCATTGACTTTCTACTTCTGTGCGTTGGCATTCATCTTGAATTTGTCGTTAAATTTGTAGCTCGCACTAACAAGCTAGAATCACTGTTTTAGTAATTTATAAGTCAATATCAAATATGTAATATGTTTATCGTTGAATATTATGATGAAGATACTTAATTTTATGAAATCTTCTGACAATTATTACATATTACAAAGTTTTTTCAAATTTGGCTATTTCATCGTCTTGGAGTGTAAAGTCTTTACACTTCAGAGTGAAAGTCACGACTAAAAAGATTACGAATATAATGAACATACAGATCACAACGCCATTCGAAGTAAATATGATTTCTTGACTTCTTTTGATACACCAAAAGAAGTCAAGAAATCTTTAACTATAACACTGCCATAGTTATAAACACAATTGCCAAGATCAAATTTATAAATGAGATGGTCAGTGATATATAAAATTCACTTATATAGTAGTTTCGACTTTTTCCTATATATTTGCCAACCGATTTTAATGATATTATGTCGACAACGGCTCATATATTTAATGGAATATAATATTATATTCCATTTAATATAATAATATCAATTAAAAATATAATAAATAAGTGATAAAGTACATATTTGGTCTGGTTCCCACATTTAAAAATGCCAATCGGTCACATCAAGTTTGTTAATACCAAGTATTGAAAAGAATGCTAATAAAGCGAAACTTATACAGTCTGTTTGTGCACACATTCCATCAATTTCCCGTGTTTTACCTTAACAGGGATCCCCTAACTTTTTTGCAAGCGGAAGAACAACATCCACGCAGTACGGACAAAGAAAATGAGTGACATTGGGATGCACAACATTGCCATGAGCTATTTATAAAAACAATTGTTGCAAATACTTAATTATGGTTAAATGGTTGTAAATCTAATCGTTTTTATTAAATTTATTTCTTTGTTAATATTGTTAATAATAAACTATAATGTTTAGTAAAAATAATTTTTATTATATAGTCGGGGGATAAATAGCATTAAAAAGGGACAAAGGTAGTTAATTTTGGTAAATATAATTTTGAAACTATAATTTTTAAAAAATCTATTTAAAGGTCAAAATAAACATAAAATTAAAATATTAATTTAAATTATAGTTTTTTTATTTTAAATGATTATAAATTGAATAATTATAAATTTCTATTTCAAAAATAAACAAAAACACTTCAATTTGTTCACTTAGAGAAATGTGGAAGTCTAAAACGCAGCACTTTTTGTGGTTTGTCTGAAACTTGTTTTGTTTAAGGATTTTCCTTTGTTTTTCCCTTTGTTTCGTTTCTTTTCTGCTCTTCTTCAACTCCAATTGTTTTGGTGTTAAAATGGTCTTTCTCTTTTCCTTTCTCAATGGGAATGGTTCAACAACGAAAGATTGAAAGATTTCAACAAATGATGTATTTCAGTGATTCTGTGACACTTTAAAAGATTGACATTGTAGTTAATTCATTAAACTCTGGCTTTTTAACCATATATATCATGAATATATTGAAATACAGTTTTTAAACTGGTTTCTTGTATTTGAATTGCTTTTTTGTGTTGATTGCCTGTGGTTGTTTCATCGAGGGTTCCTTTCTCTTCTTCTTCCATTGTTTTCAAAGATTGAATAATATCAAAAATAGAAAGTTATGGTTTTCTTTTATTATCTTCAAAGTAGTTAATTGAAAAAACCCTTCTAATACTTTTATGGTTAAATAAATTATATTTTATAGTTTTTTACTCAAATTAACTACTTCTGTCCCAAATTAACCCCCTTTATCACCCGACTATACATTATAATTCACAATATTAAATAATTATTAAATGATATTAAATTAAAAATTAATTGTTATTAATCAATAATAATAAAAATTTTTTATAGATAATAATTTTTAGAATAATAATTAATATTTTATTATAATCAATTTATTAATTATTAATTAAAATAAATTACTAGATTCATCTCATTTTTAAGTTTTTACATTTATTATTTTTAAATAAATTTAAATATTTATTTAATTTATGTTGTTCATTTCAACTAAAAACACTGATAAAACAAAGAAATGGAAGAAGTAAAAGCTCAAATTAAAACTGTAACATCTCTGATCACCAAGCTGTTTGACGACCCGAAAGAAAAACCAACTGAATTAGTCAGAAAGGGTGAAAAACAAAACGAAATGCCCCTCCGAGAGCAAATTAAAGAAGCAGAAAAGGCATTTGAAATACTCGACGAAGATTATCAGAAAAAGTTGCATTTGAGAACGGAGTGGCAGTCACTTTTGCAAGACGTTCTATTATTAACAGCAATAACAAAACAACACACTAAAGATATACCAACAAACAAAAAAGAATTGGACAATTCTATAGACACATTGAATAAACTTTACACAGAAGACTTTGAAATTAAAAACAAAAAACTTGAAGAAGATTTTCAAGTTGAACTTTCAAAAATAGAAAAAATCAAAGACAATAAAATTGATGAGTTGGCAACCATCAAAAACGAACGTGCAAAAATGGAACAAAATTTTAATTTTGGTCTTGAAAATGGCGAACGTAAAAAACTCGAGGAATTGTCAAAAATGAAA